ATTCCCATGAAGGAACCAATTTTGTTCTGTTCTTGGGAACCCTAAGCATTACCATTAGATTAATACTTTTCTAATACTAATACCAAAGCATTAAATTATTTTTTTAACTCTAATGCAAAAGCATTAATTTAATCTTTTAACTCTAACACAAAAACATTAAAAATAGTATTAATTAATGCAATGCTAATGCTAATCTGACACCCCTAGGCTTATTGCCAAACTTGAATTCATTTTTATCAACTGAGCAATTATCTCATTTTGAAATGAATGCCTGTGCTATTTTTTTATTACGTAGTGGCTGTTTTTGACGACGAAACAAGTGAAATTGTTGAACGTTTATTCTCCAAACTTTATAAAGATCATGGCTTATTTTATACAGAACTACAAACTTTTAAATTACATTTACATTGTCATTACTCATCGATGTACAAGATGCATGGCTTATTATGTAATATAGGCTGTTTTGGACAAGAAAATTTTATTGGTTTTGTGAGTGTCAATTATCATGGTGCACGATATTATGACGACTTCATCATGTATCATTATAACATAGACTTTTGTCTTGAAAACAGAAAACAAGCAAAAGCAACTACTGATGGTCCTTGTGATCCATTAACTACATGGACCAATGATTATGATTATGTGCAACAAATTCATTATCTTTTGTGTAATTGTAATAGTTTAGATTCATGTTGCGTTATTTACCGTCGATTTATTATTCGTTGTGCAATGGTTCACTCTTTGATATAAAATAGACAACAGAATTTTACTAGTTAGTTTGTTGAATATAAATTAGGTGACAATATTACTGATATCCGTTTTTATATGATCGAATTATTTTTTATTTGTGACAATATTGGTTATGCTACTATTAAATATCATCATGTGAAATAGCATCTGTACGGTAATGCTTTTAGAAATTCTTCGTATTAGCATTTATTATCAACACCACTTGATTCATTGTATTATATTTTACAAAAAGATCATTGCGAATTAGATATTGTTCGGACTGATTATATTAAGACTTATTGTGTGGTAGTTGAAAAGCAGGATTACTTGTTTGTTGCATGTATTTCATCTTACAATGAACATGATTAGTTTTTTTTTGTATTGTTGAAAAGCTCTTTCTGTTTTTGTTTTTGTTTTTAAAGTATATCTATGCTTTTATCTTCTTTAAGGAGAATCTATCTATTGTGTAAAATTGAAAACGAGTGTTTATATGCAGGTTTATCTTCAATTGTTAATCTTATGAACCGTATTGAAGAATCTTTTTTCTTATTTACTTGAAATTTATATTTTAGATCGAATATTATTTTTTCAAAATAACAATGACAAGTAAAGTCACAAAATAATTAAAAAACGGTTAATCATGCCAAAAACACAATATTCTCCATCGTACCCGATCACAGCAACGACATATCATTTGCTTTTTATGCCGATACAAAAAACATGATATTTGTTGAAAATTCAAGCGTGAAATAACATTTAAATGACAGCAAAATGATGCCAAATGATGGTTATATAGTGAAAGTAATTATATCTGGTAATGTTTTTTTGAATTTGATAGAAAGAATTTACACTGTTCAAGAACTAAACATTTATGCAATTCAGGTAATAAAGATAAATGTATGGATAATTGGAACAAACAAAAACCTATGTCAAACAGTGAGAAAGTGACTATTGTGTGTTCAGTCTAAGTAAATTCTGAATCTATTCGAGATAACAATAATGACGGTCAAGTTGAAGATGAGTTGAGATACCTAATTCAACGTAATAAACGTTACAAATGGCAACAAAAATGTTTTCAACACGTATGTATTTCATTTAAAGGATAGAGCATGTTGATTTAAACATGATGATTGTTGTAGCTTCTCCATATCGACGTCAAACAGCATCAATAAACGACTCAAACTCTCCTGATTTTTGCCCTAAAACTATTACTAGCTGCAGCTCTGGACAGAAAGCCAACCCGACTCAGAGTTCCTTTCGCTTAATCACTTAAGCTTCCCATGCATACTGACTAACCACACACTAGCTACAAGAACTTTTGTGTATGTCACACGTAGTCAGCGTGCTATCGGATGGGTGGTCCAAGATAAACAGCCGTTAGTAACTTGTCCAAGGTTATTCTATGTTTGCTGAGGCCAATATTCGAAGACATATAAAAAAAAGGAAATTTTTGTTTGCTCGAAAAGTTCACACAATGACGACAGATTTGAGCGATGCATTTTTTCTAATTTAATTAATTTGGATAGTAACTTGCAGGGTGTGGCTGGGTGTGAGTGTGTGGTTGTGAGCGTGTGCGTGGTGGTATGTGTAGGGAGTGTGTGGGCGGGGATGCGTATGTGATTTTTGGTGTGTGAGGGTTCGTGGGGTATTTGTCAATAGATGAGCACATCCGCACCCACATTCACACCTGTGCGTGTTGGTGTCGGTGTGGTTATAGATTCTCGCCTCATGTGGCCCACACTTACATTCACAGCGACATTCGCTCACACGTACGCCCTACACCCACACCCGCTCACATCTACACATCCAAATTTACACTCACATCCAGATCCAAACCCACACCTTTACATCCATATCTCCATCCTTCGCAATATCATTCATAGCCATGAACTATTAGCACTCAGTCATCCAGCAAGATCCTTCGATATTATCGTTTTCTTGCATATAAGCAAAAAACAAATCACACACCGGTATATTCAACACAAAGCAATATTCTTGAATAACATAAAGAAGATAAGCAATTAAGTCAAACTCAGACAAAACATAAGTGCCGATACAAAAAGCCAGAAAAAAGAACGAATAAATTTTTACTAATCAGGATTCTTGATTAATAAAACTTGCGGATGAGGCCTGTCAGTCATTTGTCTGCCGATTCGCCACATCTTGATTTTTTTTCGAAGTTGTCTATAGATAATAGAAATCAATCGTTGATGTTCAATTTCGTCTACAAAATCAACTCACGGCTCGTGGTTTCTTTAACTGACCGATTTTTTTGTGCTTCATCGGGCTTCGGCGACGGCTCTGGACACCATAACTCTCCAAAATATGTCTCAGATTGTTAAGTTCTGTCGCTAAAAAAATGAAATAATACTTATTCTCGTTCACTTATCGGTAGATAATAGTCAGAACTCACCTTCATATTCCTCAATTATACCTGTCTTGCAAATGGCATCCGTGCAATATGCCATGTTATTCTCGTCGACAAGAATTAGTTGAAAAGCCAATAATGACCGTCGCAGATCATATTTATCTCTCGTATTCTTCGCTTTATTTGTTTCTGTTGGATGCAGATCTAAATATAATTCAACCATTCAATACAATCAGTACAGCACAACATTTTTTTCTTACCAGTAAATGTTAGTTGTGTCGGTGAATAAACAGCCAATGTTTTAATTTTTGCCAGATCAGGTTGTGTGAGTCGAAGCATGGCAAGATTTTCGATCCTAGATAATAAAAGAAGATTTTCAGTAAAGGAGAAAGTCGAAGCAGTGCGACCTACTTGATGTAACCATTTTCTAAATCTCGTTCAGTGACTGGAATAAATAATGAGCCACCATGAACTTTCGCATGATCATTATTCATCCATATGGGATATGGATGAAGAAAAGTGAGACCATTTGTACCATTTTGTAATGTGATGCGAGTAATGCGTATGTAGACAGTAATGCCTGCTGGTAAACAAAGACGGCGACCGAGAATCTAGATAAATTCATTGAAGGAAGCTATAGATGAATATTTCAGTAGAAGAATGATGACTCACAGTGATCGTCAACATTTTATTCCAAGGAACAAAGATGTATCGATTAGCGTCCAAGCATTCGTGTTCATATCGGGCACGTTGATATGGACATGGAGGGACTGACACTTCGATCGATTCGCCATTGGATATTAAAGCTGAGTGACCACTTTCGAGAAAGGCGGGTGTCGATGGAATATCCTATTACAATCAAACACAAGTTATAATTACGTGAGATTATTGAGGATTACTGTACAAGACATACCGATGACTTAATTACTTGGATAAGCTTCTTCCCATTAGTGGGCTTTTCTTCAATCTCTGTTGATCCTAATGAAATTTGATCAATAGTAAGGCTATAGTTGATCTGTCCAGTTTCGTCTGTTTGTCTTATAAGTAATTGCTGTTCAAGTGATGATCCGTGAGGATTTTGGTTCAGTGCTGAAAGAACAGAGGTATTTTCATGGCAGAAATAAATCATTCACAGGCACAAACCATGAGTTTCAGCCGCGGGAGCTTCTTCAATATTGCTTACTTCGCATTGGTCTTGACCACAGTTTTCTTCTATATCAACAAGAAAATACAAATAAGAATGAGAATTAGAAATAATAACTTTTTTGCAACATTTACCATATAGATCGATCTCCGGGAATAAATAATCCAAATCAATGCTTGAGAAATCTTTCGAATCATCCACTGGAACCGAATTGGTCGGATTAGTTGTTGGTAACGAAAACTCCTTATCTAACTGTTCAAAAAACTCTGCTAGTGAGCAAGTTGGGGCCTGATCTTCCGAATTCATCGTTGAAATGAAAAGTTCTTCATCAGTCTTTCGATTCAGATCTTCGAAGAAGCCCGTTCTCATTAAGTCCGTCCCTTCTTCTACCGAGTAGAAATCTCTTAGAGTGGACGTTGAAATCAAGTTCATCAAATCGACTACTGTGGCACCTATAAAGAGAATGACGATATCCATTCAAAATATACAAAACTTGTCTTTATTGCAAACCTCCGTTGTCTAATTCCAATGACAAAAATGAATCATAAGGTTCCATTCAAAATATGTATTCGTTAGAAGGTTTTTTTTCTGTATGATCAATATATTATCACAAGTACAAGATTTTATATCTACAAAAGAAATCAGATCGTATATATTGATCGGCAAGAGTGTTGCAACAAAAAAATTAAAATTTTTTGGCCGACAAACAACAACAGAGAAGAAATACAGACGTATGGTGCCGCAAAAAAACGAAGTGACGATAGATGACAGACAAACATTTATCTGGCATCATTCGTATGCTTTTTTCCAACTTACACAACCTTTTTTCTCTTTCTGTGCACTCACGGTCATGGCTCGTATTTTTTTCTTGCATTCTTCGTCTGAGAGAAATATTGTTGTTTTTGTTCTTCTCTCTCTCTCTCGATCTGTCACATGTCGTCATCAAAATCTTCCCATGGTTCCTGTTGAAACAACAATAAAATGATCCAACCAACCAATAGATTGTTTTGTTCAAAATATATCTTTCATTATCTTTTTTGATTGTGCAACTGATAAGAAATTTTTAGCCATGAATTATTTCTGTGACTAAAACTGAGAAAAAAGACACTCTCGATAATTTTTTTCCGTCATCTTTCAATAATCAAGTGAAGAACTCTGACTTTTCATCAAACCATAGAAATTTCACATTTTAATAATATTGAAAAGAAGTAAAATGAACCTTTAGAGCTGCATGAAATACCTTCAAGACGAAAAAAAGAGCAATGAATGAGTCATCCGCAGTCTTCCCACCTTACTGAGGGTTACTTTTAGTTTGCATCTACATTTTTGCTGCCTATATATATATATATGGGAGGGGGGGGGGGCGGTAGAAAAAGAACAAAATTATCTTTACCTCACTGGAGATTTTCTTCAATTTTATTCGTTCTTTATCGTCACTGGGAAAAAATCCATGACAACATTTATGTTTATGTAACTCAAGCTCGACAGATATTTCATTCTCGTAATAGATATATTCTTATTGCTTTGTCTTTTGTCGTCAAAAATGATATCGAAATTTCGATATACAATGCGCTAGTCAAAAAGTTCTCGTAACAGCAGTCTAAAAATTTCATTCCCATTGTTTTTATTCATTATACTCTCCTATTATAGTGGAGACATCTGTTGAATGTGAGGTGTGTGTCGATGTGGGATGTGGGCGAATACAATAGTTAAATCCACACACAACTTATACTATGTTGTTTTTATGTATGAAAGAGTTATGAACAAATATCATATAATAAAGCTTTAATACCATAACTTGGTTTACCTTCGAACAGACAATTACAATATGATAATAACGTTCATTATTGAAAAGTGATTAATTTAAAAATAGAGATCGTCAGAAATTTAACAACTTGATACACTTTGCTCAGCACTGTCAACACTATAATTCGAGAAGAATAAATAATATATATCAACATAGATGGTACTCGAAAGTTTTGCTTAAAGAATAACATTATTAACTTTTTAAATAAAATAGTTTTATTGATCATGCAGTATTTTACAGAAGCCTTCCCGTGCTACTCTTTTTCAATGAAAAAATATTCTTTTAAGTAGAAAGTCTATTAAAATAAAAATTTATTCATCAAAGAATTCAGGCTGAAGTGAGTTATTGACAATTATTACAACTATATAAATGATGTGCTTTATTTTTTTAGAAAACTCAGATCTTCCTGCAAATACTGATAAGATCTCATCAGAAAAATATGCTAAGAGCAATCAGCGCATTTTTTATTTATACCTCCTTTTTAGCAATTACATTTGAAGCTTACACCTTCATTGTATATTTTCTAATGAAATTTTTAAAAAATGATAATTTTTTAACATTATTTTGTGCTTTATTTTCTTTCTAGTTCATCAATGGGAGACGACATATCAACAAAAACAACCACATGTGATATAACTCCAACCAATACGAATATCATTAATGATAATAGTGAGTTTTCTCTTGTTTAAATAAATCAACAAAAATATTGCATCGGTTTTTATAATATTTGTTTTTTTGCTTAAACTAAAAGATTATATTGTTTTTAACGAAGGGTAAGTGTGGTCTGGTCTTCACACATTCACATCCCATACCCACACCCACCGACATTCTAACAAGCCTTTTTTAAATAATTTTTGATTAAGTTTGTTCATAAAAAAATCATGAAAATATTGTTATCATGAATGCGCAAGAAAGCAAATATGTTTGTTGTAAATATCATTGTATAAAATATAAGATGCATACCCAAATTAAAATCCTTAATATACAATAACTTAATTAACCATAAACGAAGTTACTAAAAAATTCTAAACCTAAAATTATTATGAATTTCACTTTACTAATCTAATTCAGATTATCATAGTTAATTATTCTATTTAAATGGTTTTGAAGAATAAAAAATAAACTAACAATTCACAATTATTTTTGATTAGCTCTTGGATATTGGTTACTCAAAAGTCAGTGTAATTTCAAAAGACTAAAAGTTTTGAGAAGTTCAATAAGTAATCATTTGTTACGATTAACTTTTCCTTACAAATACACATATATGATTACCATATTATAATTATAATTTTAGATAATAAATATTTTTATTTATATATTGAGAGAAGTCCGAAATGTTTTTCTAAAACTTTCTCGAGCAGTATCATAGAATAAAAAAAGAGGCTCAATTAAAAAAATGAACTTCGAAAAACTTGTGATCAATAAAACAATAAATCAAACAATCAAAAATTCGATGGACTTCAATCGTTCGGAAGTACATCGTGTAATTGAGAGTATTTTTCCAATGAGTTTCTTCTTCTTAACTACTCAATATTTGTATAGGGCTCGATTAATCAAAATTACATTGAATAATAGAAAGTATCTCTTCAATAGATCTTATCTCACCGAGTACTCGCACATGAATGAGTGATAGGAAAATGTTTCATAGAGCTCGATTTTCAATGACTATCGAGAGAATCGAAACTCGAACACAACGAGAAAAATATATATATTCATATTTCTATCGCTCGTCGCAATGGTCGTTGATTTTTCAATGTCTACTGGAGCAAAAGCTTTGCTTTTTCTCTCTTGAACATGAACGATCACAATAAAAAACAAAATCCAATGGATAATTGAACAAAAAGAAAAAATTGCGAAGAGAATTGACTAAAGGAATTAAAATATTAAAGATAATAATAGAGTTGTTACAGTCGCAAACGATAAGGAACTGACGATATTGGTACAGTTGAATTACTTATAATAGCGCTAACAATGTAAAACTAGTTGCTATGAAAACTTAAAACAGTTATGAAAAAAATTTAAAAAAATGAATAATTGAAATAAATATAACGTGAATTTTGTCTATTTCATTCTTTCTTTGTTCTATGAAAAATATTTTACAACTATTTTATAATAAATCTTAAAAATAGACAAAGTATGCTAAAAGAACGTATCATAATCATACAAATATTGTTCTATAGGAATGGATCATGAAATATGAGAAGAAAATCAGAATTTTCAGTTGCAAACAGGAAAATCGGGATGTTCCTAAGAAATCAGGAAATTAATATCGCTACGAGACCTACACAGTAAAATCAAGCTACATAATAAATTTGTATTGATGTACGAAGTTAATTTTTACCAAAAATATGTCGGTGTTATATCGATTGTATTTAAAACAAAAGAAAGAATATTGTAGAAAAAGAAAAGCATAACTACATTGGTATATAGAACTATCATGTGATAAAGAATATTTTTGATTAGAACTTTCTTTCGATATGACATTCGCATTTAACTTTTTAACATGTGTAATAAAAGTCGTCTTTAAGCCCGCCTCCTAAAAAACCAACCTCAGCTCAGAAACGTTCAAATGATATAAAATTTTCAGCCCGATATCATGATGTTTGAGGGGGATACTGGTCAAACAAGAGTCAACAACAGCTCATTTGGTAACACAACTTTCTCAGTTTAGGTTCGTGTGATGTATTGAAACTTTCTTTTGTTTGAAAGAGCATGTCAGGATGCAGGATACCACAGAGCTCTTTCTTTTAAATTCTTACTTTTTAAGCGGAAAAAAGGAATCACAAGTTCAATGATTCAACAAAGCCCTAAAAAATGGCAGTATTTTGTACAGAGGTGTTTTCTTATATGATTAGAAAAAAGCTAATTCTAAAAAAAGAGCTGTGGTGCCCGCGTCTTGAAGCGCTCTTTCAAACAAAAAAGAAATTTAATACATCACATGAACCTGGACTGAGAAATTTGGGTTGCGTGTTCAACATATCATGAACTGAGAAAAAACGAAAAAGGTTTTCGAGTTTTTTTCAAAAATGGTTTATTTTTCGAATATGAGATAATGGGAATCTTCAAAAATTGTTGAAAAACACGAGATATCGAGTAATAATTTTTGTCGTTTGTGATAGATCAGATCATGGGCTATATCTTGCGTGCATTTATCTTAATTTTGATCATTCTGACAAAA